TTGTGAAAATGGTCACCTTTATAACAAAATTTTAGCACTGATATTGAAGGGGTTTTGGAGAAATCGTTACTTTAAAATCAGCTATTTTTAGCAGTTTTTTTTGTTCGGCAGCCATTTTGATTTTACTATAGTTTTTGTTTTACAAGTTACTGTTCAACTAAACATGTAATTAAGCTGAAAATTAGTACCAGTATAGTTTTTAGGACGAGGAATCAGAATAAAACATTTGTTTTTAATGAAAACAATTTGAAGTTTATCAATATTGGGATTGTACTTCACCTATAGATTTTTTTGAAATTTTAACAAAGGCGGAAAGGAGGTCTAGTTACCATGGTAGCATTAATTTTTGTTTTAGTTTTTTTTTGTTTTTATTAAAATAGATATATTAAAGAGTGTTTTGGTACAAAATTGAGAGATTAGTTTTTTGAGGATTTTTAAAAATAATTAAACGAATTATAATGACTAAGAACACTTGGATGTTACTTATTAAGAATTTGCTTATTTTGAAAACTTCCATTATAAGAAAAAAAAACCATTAGCAAAAGTTAAAATGAAAAATTCATAATAAATTAATATATTGAGTCAAAATAATCAAACAAATACAAGTTTTAAATAAAAAAACCAGAACTTGCATCTAAATAATTCATAAATTGCTTATAAAAGAAAACTGGTGTAATATGATTGAGTTAATTAAAAAAAATTAGATTTTGGGAAAATCATCTGTGTCTATCTGGTATATGCGCCCTGTTCTTGAAGATAATGTTTTTTTATCATAATTAAAATATGGGCTTAGGAACCCAACAACAATCACCTCTACTTGGCCAGTGTAATGAAATGTTAGAAATTCCATTCACATTGCATCTCAAATTCTTCAACTTGATGGCATAAATTTAAAAAATGTTTGCAATTTTTGTACTTACCAGCACTACCATCAGAGAAATAGTGGATTTTTATGGTTTTAGGAAACATTTTTTGTAGAAATTTGACAGTTCTTTTTACTATACAATAAATAATTATGCGGTAGTGGTGTAGTGGTAAAACACTCGCTTCATAAGCAAGAGGTTCCAAGTTCGATCCCCACCACGTCCCTGGTAGTACTGCACTCAACTTGTTTCTCCGCGCAGCGGTCTTGTTTGTCAAGGTTCGTGTTACGGAGTTATAGAGTTGAGAGAGGGTTATAACCACTATTAAGTAGCCTTTTTGTCTGTAGTGGCCTTCTCGGCCTTGAGGAGGTGAATAAAACATAAATAAATAAATAAAAAAAAAAATAAATCCAACATCGAGTGTTAAGTCATTAGATATAAAACATAAAGACATTGGTTGACTTTTAGTAGAACCCTCATCATTTTTATTATAAATAACTACAGGATGTAGTGTGCATTGCTGCTGGTTCCAGTGTTTACTCTGGATTTCGCCTTGTATGAAAAATTTAAAGTTTTCTGCAAATCAACTAAAATAATAATTTCATTTGTGGGTATAGATGACTTTAATGTATTTAATTTACTTTATGCTTTAGCAGTATAAGAGTGAGATGTTATGCTATCAAGTTTTTCACTAAGACTTTCAATGAATTCATTTATTGTAGATGTGTAACTTAGAAGCTCTGCTCTATCTGTCTATCTTTTTTTGTCTCTATCTGTCTATCTTTTTTTGTCAATTCACCTCCTCAAAGCTGAGAAGGCCAGTACAGTTGAGGAGGCTATTTATTTGTGGTTATAACCCTCTCTTAACTCTATAACTCCGAAACACGAGCCTTGACAAACAAGGCCACTGTGCGGAAAAACAAGCTGAGCCTGGTACTACCAGGGATGTGGTGGGGATTGAAGGATTTTAACATTAACGTTTAATATTGATAGCCCAGATCTCCATAATAATAAATTTCTCCATAATAATCTTTCTCTGAATAGCTTGATAAATCTTTTAATCCAATTGATTTAGTGTACACTATTTTATGCCATTGATCATTTGATAAAATACCAACTGTACATAAAATCTTGTTCATTTTATTTTTTTCAATTTTTTATTTAGCTATAAAAAAACACAAAATACACAGACAGATATACATTTATCAAAAGTTGAAAATATATTTATCATTATTATTTTTAAATATAATAATATGTATTCATTTTTTTAACTTTGATTTTACAATTTTTTTTAAATTAATGATTAGCTATGGAGAACAAACAACAGCTGGTAAAACATCAGACTAATCAAAGTCTTAGGGTTTTAAATATTTATCTATGAAATAGTTATTTTATTTGTTAAATAGTTTTTCTTCTGTTTTAGTGAAAGATGACATAATATGTCATTAATTAGAAAGTAAAATTTTATTTGAAAAAGAAATATTCATTTGAATTAAAGTTTCTTTAAATAATAGGTTAAAAGGTTTTGCTTTTGTCTAATATTTGATGACTAATGAAAATTGTAAGTGTCAATTAATTAAAAAAAAAAATCATGAACATTATACTTATTTTTTCACATAACACTCCTATA